GGCAAATTTATTTATTTTGTACTAAGCTATCAATATTTTACTCAAAAACACACTTTATTAGTTTCCTTGTAGCAGCAAACCTAGGTACTCGTTAAACCTAATGTTATTAAAATATATTTAACTGAAAATCAATTCGGACAAATGGAAATTCGCTTAGTCGGCAGGTTTGCTGCGGCGGGGGTATTGATGTTATTAGATCCATAAGAATATGACAACATACCTTAGTGTAGCAATAGCATCAATTTGCTTCATATTTGATGCTTCATGAATTACATGTTTTACCATAACTCTTCAATTTAAGTCAAGCCTCTTCACATGTAGCTTACTATATAAATTAAAACATGAAACTTTGAGCAATACTTTACAAAACGGATATACAACCTCACTTTAAAACCAAACATAACCCTCCTCAATCTACATAAAGCGTCACAAACATCTTATTCGAGTATATAATCAAACGCCAGTTCATTGTACTAACCAGCTGTTTCATTAACTAAATTAAATTAAATCATTTAAACATTGGAAGCATGCCAGGCGTAGCCCTTTGGAAATCAGCTTGTGGGGCAGAGCCCTTAGGAAATTTGTCCATATCAACACTTTTCGGCAAATCTACACACTCTAAGCTTCATTTTGATGTGCCATCTATCTATACTATTATAAAGAAGAGGTGGTGTCTGTGTGTGTGTGTGTGTGTGTGTGTGTTTGTATGAGCTAATCTCAAAAACTACTGAACCTATTGGGCTCAAATTGCACACACATGAAGCTACAGTTCCGAGGATACATAGAACTATTCCCGCTTCAATATTGTCCTAGGGCTATGCCCCGTGGGCTTTCAAAAATCGGAGGTGAGAGATTTCAAAGTAAATTTTGATTGATGGTATCCATGACAACAAAGAACAAACCTACAAAGTTTAAAAATGTAAACAAGCAGTACTAACTGTCAAATTAATTTTGATTTCACAATTCCTTACAGCTGGTTCAAACATTCATTTAAATACTGCATGAATATTAGAACAGAGAGGGTAAGGATCATATTTAAAATAATGATGTCACTATCCTGAATGTAAACATTATTTAACATTACTTAAATGGAGCTGTCAAACCATACGCTAATGTCACTTTATACTTACATGCCAACCCCGTACGAAGGACGGGTACTCTGCTAGTATGCCTATATTTTTATTTGGTAAATGACCTTGCCTTAACCGTTTACATAAAATTTGATTGTATCACTTTAATAATATAATAGATTAAACCAGAAATAAATGTGTTAAAAAAAGGATAGTAAAAATAAAAATCCATAATCGCATATGGCTTTTAATAATAGGTTGAAGAAACAGAATCATAGATCATACCATATCACACTCCTTCTTATACTAATCTTGGATCCACATTAAAGCTTAATTATGCTTACAAAGTTCGTCGCTGTGTTGTTAAATTAAAAAATATACATTGGAACAGATCTCAAAAGGTAAATGTCAAGCTCTTGTGTTTATCAGCATTATTCAGAACTACAGGTATGTAGGTCCTTGCAGTTGTTTATGATTGATTCTACGTAGAAGCGACGTAGAAAAAAAAACAAACAAAAAACAACAAAAAACGTAAAGCAGAAAAAATTTATAGATTATAGAAAATAGGTTCATACCGAGTTACAAATACGGAAAACTCTAGGACTAGTTATTTACCTATATATTTAATTCCGTAAGCGAATCCGTCCCTGACAAAGTGATAGCTGGTATAGGTAACGTGTTAATAAACATGGATTATATTTTACGTAATAAACGTCGTAAAAATATCAAGTACAAGGCTCATAACAAAATATTGAATTTATTTTTATTTATTAAAATACGTGACAATATAGTATACAGCCTTTTACACTAAGAAAGTCTTTACAATATCGATAAAATCACTGGATTCAGTCTTTTAATGAAAATAATATAGTTTTAGATTCCCAATAAAGGTCAGTGGTGTAACCAGTAGGGGATGGGCTCAAAGTCACCCTACCACTGACACCAATGACCTTGTACAATATTATGTAAATGTGGCCATATAAGGTACTAAAGCTATTCTGTAATTAGTTCTGATAGCACACGGTATATTTGAAGGGTTGAGTAGTATTTGCGCCGAGTAGTATTTGCGCCGCGTAGCACCAGCGCCGCGCCAGCTAATTAAATGAGGGTTAGCAGTTTTGACAGGTTAACAAAGGCGGAAGCAATCAACTGCACTAATAGGATTATTGAGGACTTATGTTCCTAACACATTTTACTTTCAGCGTAAAGTGGTTGCATTCAGTCACCTCGTGACCCATGCTGGTTACACATAATTTTAAATCTAATAGGCCTAACTGCAAAATTGATGACATCAAAAATATCTGCAAATATCGTTCACTGGTTGACAACAATAAACAGTACACTCCGCCGTTTCAGTATAAGGGCTACCTAAAACCGATTAATTACCAATAACTCAAAAGAGAGGAAATTACGAAAAAAAAAATAGTTTGTTTCTGTACCAGGTTTGGTAGTAGTACATCGCGCTTCGTGAAGCCTGGGAGTTGAGACAGGCCTTATATCAATTTAAGTTTATCTTAAGTCTAGAAATACAAGTACATATTAAGTTTACAAAATAACTCTCTAAAACGTGTAGTGGCAATACCACAAAGATACCCCACTTTAGGCGTTTTCCCCATAAAAATAACATGGGGATCATTTTTAGCCACTAATTCCAAAAATCCTGATCTTTGCCTACATATCCCTACATATAATCCTCATATACTATATTCGAAATCAAGCTAAAAAAGCTAATTCTTTCATTTATTGACTCATTAAATGTAAAGAAGGTATAATATAACCTATAATAGGCCTATAGTATAATATATGACCTCACTTTAGGCACTTTTTCTCCATAAGAATATCATGGGTGAGTTTTTTTAGCCATTTTCTAAGAACCCTGCTTTCGGCCTATACAAGCCCATGCAAATGTTCAATACTATTGTACAACTCAATAAACATTACAAATCCCCATCCATTCCCACGAATATTATAAAAATCATCAACTTGACAGTGCGAGGTTTGCACGTGAACTCGGGCGTGCTCCCGGCCTATGCTTATATCGCTTCTCGTGCGATTTTGATTAAATTTTGCATGAATGTATCACCGATATCGGAATGAAACCTGTTGTTATTTACCTACACATATAGGTATAATATAAATAAATTAATGATACTTACGTCTTCTGTACCATAATGTTAATTTCGTAAAAAATGGATGTTTTTAGCGAATTCCCTATAGGGAAGTAGCTATTACCGTAGGTCGCACCGTAAGACCATTGACTATGAATAGTCAATGGTAAGACCTAGGCCCGTGACCAATTTACTTTTTCATTTTGTATAGATTTATATACGTCCGTGAACGTGATAACTTGAGTAATTTTAGTTTGCTTGTTTATGGATATATTTTGATCAAACTTGGCAAATTTATTTATTTTATACTAAGCTATCCACATTTTACTAAAACTCCAGTTTAATCGTTTCCTTGTAGCAGCTAACCTAGGTACTCGTTAAACCTAATTTTATTTATATACATTCAATTGAAAATCAATTCAGACAAATGGAAATTCGCTTAGTCGGCAGGTTTGCTGCGGCGGGGGTATTGTCTGTTTAGTTTAGCTAAGTGTTAACACACAATGAAACTGTGTACCTGATACCATAAGGTTTTTTGTGAAATAACTTTTCACCCGTTTTGATTAACCAATGTTTTCGATGTAGGTGTCCTTGTACATCTTATGATATAGCAGAGGGACGAATGGTAGCCAAAAGTGTCATTTTGGGCTTGCCACACCCTCAAGTTATTGATTTATTTACATGGTTAACTTTTTTAGAACCTGTAATTATGACAAACCTTTTTATAATGAGGTTTTATGTGTGAACCCGTGATCCTTCACTTCGATGTATAACCTTTAGATAGCAAACAAAAGACGAAACCATATGGGTCTAAACTATATAACGTTTTTAATCACCAGTAGTGAAAAGCCTTTTTAGTTCCTAGGGAGTACAAGTCAACTGTTGTGAACAGTTGTAAATGTCGATTGTAAGCAATTGCATGGTTCGAAATTACTCGTATTTATCGATTTATTTATTCGGTTAGAGGTTTCAGAAAAGTTTTATTGTAGCTTATTGTTGCATTCTTATCAATTGTACGACATATCGATGATATAATGTACAGTAGGTCAATTGTAGTAGACGAAATGATTGAAAACCGAGCCCTTCTTTGTGGATTCTACGATGTTCATTCTGCTAAATTCTACTCGAAACTGACAATGACAACACCATTGAGTGACCAAAGGTAACATAAGGGAGTGGGTTACTACGAAAGGTATGGGGATATATATACCCCTAGCAAATCCCCCTAATACCAATATGCCGAGCTGTTTGCATTCCTCATAGCACCGCAGACTATCCTGGTGCAACTATTTTCTAAAAACTTCATAGGAAAACAAAAGTCCCCCTTTCTCCTAAATTAGTAATGTGATAAGTAGAAAATATCTACTGGTTATAATAATTATAGTTCAGGAAAAATATCTATACTAACTCAATACTGCATGTGGTGGTATACAAGTGTTTAATAATTTTTTATGTGCAAAAGTGAAATACTAGTACAAGTTAATTAGGAGTATGGAAAACGACACTATTTACAATCAACTCGGTCAATTAATGTGTAAGTAATTATGACCCTCGTCACTTCTGCATCATTGAACTAATCTAACTCCGCGGCGCTGGAAGCACGATTTAATCCGCGGCGCAAATGCTACTCGGCGCAACTGCTACTACACGTATTTGAAGTAATCATAATTAGTTTTGTTGTTTGCAAAGATTAGTAATCATTTACAATCATCACGATGGAGACAAATGTCTGTAAAATTCGATAGACATAGTTTAGCCCCTGAGCTGAATTGATGACTATAATATATAATATAATACCTCGTCCCAGTTCTTTGATTACCGTATATTACGGCCGTTTCGGCATTAAAATGCCATCCTCAGATACACATACATCCACCAGAATTGGCGTCGTTAAACTTTATATACTGCACATCATACTTAATATTTTTAATTGTGTTTTCACACGTTTTAGTAAAGGTTACGAAACAAACTGTCCAAGCCGTGTTTCTTTGTCGTCTATCTATGCTAACCATAGATTTGTCTATCATAAAGTTGAAAAATGTATAAAAATTAAAAAATAGAACACGTATAACTTCAAATTAAATACAAATTTTACTTGCAAGTCTCTAACTTTAAGTAGTATTTAGTATTTTTCGAGTGAAAAGCTGAAAAGATAATTTCACGTTTGTTATGGTGTTATTTAGTTTAGGGCCTACCAAACCAAAGGTTTTACAGTGTGGTGTGAATACTTGCATGCTCATTGCATAAAATTATGCTTTAGGTCGCGGAGTTGGAGTTTAGGGCCTTCACATTCGGAATCCTTTAATCTCCACTATACTCTTCAAACTAAACGGTTTCGCCTATAAAGTTAGTTAGTTCCTGATCTTTCGGTAGCAGTAGATAAGTTTACAATTATTCACATCAACATTATAACACAGTAATCAGTGTTTGTGGCTGTAACAGCACAGTGACACTGTCACGTCTATGCAGCGTCGTGGTTGGTAGAACTGTCTTGGTGGTCCCTTCCTCTTGTAGCGCAGGGTTGGCACACCTGGAGGGCAGCAGCTGCAGGAACTCCTGACGTATATTGGTGTTGAGCCAGCCGTACACCACGGGGTTGGAGACCGCGGAAGACATGGCGGTGATGTGACAAACAGCCAAGGCCACGTACAGCTCCTGAGAGGTGACTTCGGTGTAGGACTCGCCGGAGTAGTAAATATCCGCAGTCAAGGAGAAGATACCCAGAGGCAGCCAGCTGAGAGCGAACAGGATAGCTACACCTATTATACAAGACAGTAGTAAAGATTTTTGATTCTTAATGATTGTTTAACATGTGCTAGATCTATACATTAAGTTGTTTACGCAACGATCGCGTAATAGTATATTAACCAGAGTATAAAGTGAGTCATTACATATTTGAGTCATTACATGATTGATATTAAATGGTCGAAAATGTGTGTAGACCAGTGTAGACCCACTTTCACTCGTGTTTGAACGTTACTTTTCGCTATACTACAAATTACTTCGGAAAAAGATAGAAAACGTTACTTTCGTATAGTAAACATTCTTTTGCCGTAGTAAACAATGTAATGATGAAATTTCACAGTTGATAAACATGTAACGAAAACAGGTCATTTCACAGTAGTGTAGCGAAAAGGTAGTATTTAAGACACGGGTAGAAAATTTAAGGTACGAGCCTTGTTGTGTAACTGTGTTACTGAATAAAAGCGATGGTTTTCTTAGCAAGGATGATTTATTTATTAATAACCCCATAGTTAAGGACATTTCGTAGCCAGTTCTTAACCATCAAAAAGCATTTTTTCCTCAGGATCCATCCGGCGACTTAATGATTGTTAGACGAGTACTATAAACTACTCATCTGCCCAGCTGCATAAATAAATATAGGTCTACTTATCATAACAAAACAGCTTTCAAGGAAAAGTGATTCGTGTAGGCCTACCTGAAAGAAGCAGCGTAGTTCTCCTGTTCCTCTGTATCTCCCTGTGAGCTCTGCGTAGGTCCTTCTGTGTGCGTGCGTGTGCGTGCAGATAGGAGGCGATGCGTGCGTGAACCACACACACTACCAGCGCCGGTATGACTGCTTGTACCAGCAGCACGGCTACAGCGTAGGCCACCTTCAGCCTCTGGGAGGGCCATCGTTCTATACACGTCTCGTACAATACTACCTTGTGGAACACCACTGGTTCAACGATCTACGGGAAAAAGTACAAGTTGACACCTTGAATTAACTCAGTGATTCAGATCAGACATGAGGTATCAATCCTCCAAGTAGTCCTCCGTCAGTTCTAGGCTCTGTCAGTTCTAGTTCTTGTGTGGTGACACCACTGCGGAGTATCTCGTTTTGGGGCTTTGCTGCCACATCAGGAATTGTTTCATTTACATTCAGAATGTCACTAAGATTATCCATTGCAAGGCTTTGAAGCTATATTTGGTAACTCTTTGCGAACAAAGAAGACAAAAATTACAGTATTTTCTGCCCCAACAGATTAAAATACGTAACCCCATAGTAGGCCCCGTGGCAAACTAATGATGGTAAGATCCATGGTAAGCCTCATAGTAACTAATGATAGCAATTACCTGGAAGAATCCCACCGGAAGGGTGGCCAAAGCTGATATCACCCATACAAGGACGATAGATGTGACAGCTCTTCTTTTGTTATTCGTAACCTCTTGACTTCGGACTATAGTCAAGTACCTGCAAACAAATGAAGGCAATTTCAGAACAAAGAAGCTAAAATCATTAAACATCTAGGAGGATATCTTGTTGACTTCGCTTCTAAGTTGTCATCTTATATGTTCTTAAACACCTGAGTTCCAAAGAAAAAGAAATCTCGATCGAATTACTCTTTGAGGAACATTATTAACGATATAGTTTCTTGATCCTTCACTTTGGTATTCAGACTAGGACTCAAAGGTTACAAAACTATTCTGCAATGAATTGGTTCTTCTTTTAAAGCTTAGCTTTCTCTCACCTATCCAAGGCGATGACAGTGATGGTCCCGACGGACACCATGATGTTGGCGCCCTGGATGACGGGTACGAGCTTGCAGAGAATCAGACCCAGCGACCACTGGCGTCTCAGGATGGAGACGAGGGTGAACGGCATGCAGATCAGGCACAACGTCATGTCAGAGATGGTCAGGTTAACGATGTAGAGGTTCCTGGGAGTGTGCATCTGAGGACGACGAGCTACCACGAAACTGACCACCATATTGGCTGAGAGTCCAGCCACTATAAGAAGGCCGTAGACACAGATCAAGATCACCTGTGGAAGAGGCGAAATATACTAACCAAGTTCACAAAAAATATACGGTTTGAAGAGAAAAAAAACTAATTGGGTACTGGCTAGTCTTTGATTATTTTCCTAAAAAAGAAATGTACTAAAGACCTGTTCTCTAGATTATTTTAAAATTTCAAAGTTAATAGGAAAATGCAAGTATTTTGTTCTAATCAAATCAAAATGCCTTTATTCTCTAGCCCTTCTCAGTACAATAATGGTTTACAGAACAACTCACGTCACTAAAACTAAATATTTATATACAACAGAAATTACAGGCCTGCTTTGCAATACATTTTGCCTTTTATTAAGGCTTTTGAACTGATTGGGGAGGTCGTTGTAAATTGCTGGGCAAAAGTAGAACTCCCTCCTCCCTATTTCCAAATTATCTTTTGGAAAGTGGAGGAGGGTGTCCTGCCTAGTGCCCCGTCGAGCAATTGCTCCACGTGTCACAAGTCTCTTAGTCAGGTATTTTGGTTCTCTGTGAGATAACACCCGATGGACGAGACAACAAGTTTGCACTTTGAATACTTCTAATGCACTTCTAAAAAGTCATTGTGTTAGTATTCCTGAAAATGCAAATTCTCAACTTGAATGCAAGCAGTAATGTTGACAACGTAGAAATCCTGAAAACCAGGACTCTCAAACATCGGCGAGTCCTCAACTTCAATTCATGCTGAAAATGTAAATGCTTAGAAAATATTTCTTCCATCATGCGTTGAGAAAGCTCCTTAGACAAATTTCGGCAACTTGTATCAAGATACGTGGTCTGAGAAGTGGCCGATCGCCGTAAACAACGTTTTGGAATTCCTCTACGTTGCTACGTTGTGCGTCACAAAGCTTGGCGACTGAATTAACGATAAACGTGATCAACGTTTACGATAACGTGCGTCACAACGTTAGTTATTGAATGTAATGAGCTACGCGAGTTGCAGATAGAAGAGCAAAGAAGCAAGGCAATGCATAAAGAGCGCTTTTGGCGAGGATGTTTCATACTATAATTGAGTAAAAGATTTAAGTTTTTACTTTAAGTATCCGGTATGGGAATTTGAAACATCTTTAAGAACATGTGAACATAAATAGTTTTGGTTGTTGTTTAATTACACAAGTAGTACATTATAATATGTATACTTAGACAGAACATAAAAACAGATTTTACAAAAGAAATAGAAGATAAGTGATGTGTTCATCGTAAAACTGTACAAATCAGACTTGGTTGATTAACTCATTATCATGGAAAGAGAGAATATTGTCTGCTTAAAAATACCAGCATTTCTTATATCTCCAGTGTAATTTTTCAATCACGTTTTGAAAAGCAGCACTGAATGAGACAATTGAAAGACAACTTGTATAACGATGAGCCTTTTTAATCCAACGATAGTTAATACATTGTTTGGTTGAACAGTAGAAAATTTGCATTGAAGTAAAGCTTTACCTTATCAAGGCAGAATTTACATCATTTCATCATAGTCAAATTCTCCGAGTATTTAAACAATAATTTAATAACATACAAGTATTAATAACATATTTCACATAATGCAATTATAAAAAAAATATATTTTATGCATGGTACCTCAGTCACTCCATCTACGTTGTGGTCCCTTGTCTGGTGTTCTTGAATGATCTTGAAGGCATCAACGATGTTGAAGTTAAAAATGCCCGAGGCATTCAACTCCATCATGAGGCATGATTCATACATGGGGTAGCTCATGTACCAACAAATCATCCGACCATAGTGTTCATCCACGAAATTTTCAAACATGCGGCAGTTCTTACACAAAAAACTTATCTAAACGTTTGATTGTTCATGTACCAGCAAATCTTTGAAGGGAGAATTGTTCATTTACTAGAAAAATATCCAAAACTATTTTTATTTTAGAACCATAAGATCATTAGAATATTTGGTTGTTTAGATGCCCACTCATCCTTACGAGATATACTGCAGTCATTGATAGATTTTTCCAGTTAGTGGTTAAGTTTGACTGTTGATGATGATGTCACATGTTATTGAGGAGATTCACTTTACGGAGAGGAAAACATTAGTTGAGCCAATTATCTGAAAAATGAGTTCTTGGTTAGTATAGTACCAAACTGTACACTAAGAGGACACAACACGTATTGAAATAACAAAAGTGATATAGTATATATGTGAAAAGAATGTTAAAAATAAGCAAAATATACGTATTAGTGAATCTCCATATTGGGAAGTAACTTTTCAATAGTATACATAGCAAGTTCTTAGACATTTACTAAACTTTTATTAAACGTGTAAATCAACATTATCACCTTTACTTATATCATACTTTTTGCGGCAGGTAATTTTTTTTTTTTTTTTTTTTTTTTTTTTTAAGGGAGAGGAGGGAAAATGCTTTTACGCACACAGGTAGCCAGCCTGTAGTGTGAGACTCCTGAAAATTATCAGACTACTCACTAAAAAACCCCCTCTACTCTGTTGGACACAGACCTGGAATTGTTTGTCACATTACTTCAAGTCTGGCCAACATGTGACCAGGTCACACGGCGGCAGGTCATTACTTTTCTTATATTTTAAAATTCTACTCATTTGAGTTCGTAAAATGGCCAGAATTGAAGGGGAAATAGGAAAAGGGCTTGTACTGCAAAATTCTTGATAGGGTTTATTCAAAATGAAGAATCACGTTTAGGTAATTAGTATAAATAAGCCAAACACGATAAAACTAAAATAGTGTAGGCCTAGTATATTAGATTTGTACTCTTGCAATACAGATTTAAATAGTGTTTTAAACCGTCTGTTCTCTCTTGCAAATGAAAAATAAAACGTGTGTAATAAGGAAAAAGTGTTTTGTACATTTCTTTTTTAATGATACATCTGTTTTAGCAAATTTCCCATATAGGGAATAAGCTATTACCGTAGTACTCATGGTAAGACCTGGACCTGGGACCGATATAATTTTTCGTTTTGACTTCCCTAGAGGCCAAAAACACCATCCATTCAAATTCATATATATAGATATTATTTGTTTAATTCCTTAACAAACGATACCAAGTTTTAAAAGATCGAATTAGAAATACCTGAAATATTACGATTTTTAGCTGTAAAATGGGGTCCGCTATTTTGAAATTTTAAGTTGTTTCAAGCTGATTTTTTTCTGACATTGGTCTTTTCTACCTTAACCTACATATCAAGTTTTATAAAGATCGGCTGAAAAAATCAAAAATAAAAATTTTATGTAAAAATACAAAATAGCGGATATCTGGTTAACGAAGCGATTTAGGGAAAAATATTATTCTTGATTTTCTTGTTATTTTGACCCATAGAACCATTTCCCGGAGTTTGACTGTTTACTTACGGGACACTCTGTATAAAGATTTGTTTCTTGGTTCCATTTGGTTAACTAATTAGACTTTTGCATAGTATATTTTAAATACAATACACAAGTGCTACTAATACATAAATCGTCATTTAAATAATCAATAAGTACGATTGTGCTGTACCTATATGTTTCCTGGTACTGTCGTAAATGTTTCTTATAGTGGATAAAAACACGAACTATTCTTTTCTGCATTCTTACCTCATAGCGAAGCACGAGCAGAGCAACTAGTTTATTATTAATGTCCTCAATAAGTAAACAAAATAATGGGACACACAAGGGCACAGAAAGTAGGAATGATGTTATTGACAAATGACAGCAGCGAGCCTCGCTTATAAGGCATCATCACACTTAACCACGTAGTAAGGCAATCTATATAAATAAAATTACAGTTTTGTCTGTACATTGCTTAGAATCATGCAGTTTTTGGTTATTTTTACGTTTCATAGCCTAAGAAAGCCGAAACGAGTCTTATCTTAATTTCTGTCTGTTTGTCCATTCTGTGGTTGCGTCTGTAACGCTAAAATGTCATTTTACGCGGCCTACTCCTAGACAACTAGAGAACCGATCAAGGTTCTAATAATTTGTCTGTATTTACTGGATTGGTGAGAGTGTCTTTGGCTATAAAAACATGGCCTCGCTTCTTTGAAAACAAAATAACGAACCACCAAAAACCCAATTTTGTTCGATTTTTGTCAAATTTTCTCCCAATGTTTACTATTACATTTTATGAAACAACGATCAGCTGTTTGGATTAGTTCTCACTTCTAGCTGTCACTGATATGTTTACATTAAAAGTTGTTTACAAATACCGCAACCATTTCCGATCAAGTTTAGTCAGCACATCCAAAGCAAGTGAGATTAAAAACGTTGTGCCTTACTTAACCGGTTTAATTAATCGCAAGTGCAATGATTATTCTTGAGTTTTGATAACCGGGGAAAATACCGTAAATCAGTGTTGTATCAGTGCAGGGAAACTTACATTTTTTTAATCGTCGTCACCAATACCATAGCTTACAAAGGTTTCCACTCATTGACGGCGCTTGAAGGACAGTTGTGTAAAGTGCAAAGTAAAAAATCACAACTGCAGTGGGTGATCGTGGATGTTGCTGCGATCTTGGAAGATCTTTCTGATTTCACTGTGATCGTACCGTAACGGAGGTTTAACTTAACAGATGTAGCTAAACTCGCTTTTCCAATGTGTCACTTTTGCTTTCTACTTACTTACATTTCGACAACGATATCGGTACTTTTCCTACTTAGGAAGTAAAACTACAATCGTACAAAACCCCAGATTTGTGCGTTTTTTGTCACATTTCCTCCGAATGTTTGCTAGATATATGTACCGATTATCGTTTAGAGATTACGTAATCTTTTAAATAAGAAACCTTTGTTTGGATAAAGGTGGTTTCTTCAAACTGCCATTAATATGTTAACATTAAAAGCTGCTTACAAATAATGCTACTAATGGGAAATAACTTTGATTTTCGAAAACTTAAAAAAAAAATTAAAAACCAAAGAAGATTAATAACTTCTGTACTGCACTACATCAAGTGAAAGTTTTTTTTAGCAAACCATAGTAAGTTTTCAAAGCTTTACGTTGTTAACGTTACATGTTACATGTTTTGTGGCCTGAGTATTTATTTATTTGTATATTTGCCAACAGATTAATTAACACCTATAATACAGTTTGATTAGAAGGACAGTTTGAATTAGTCGTAAGTACTACAGTTCTTTTCTCAAATGTAAACGTTGGTTTTTGGTACTGCTACTTTTCCTTAGAACCGGTGATAGCAGTAAGAATAATTTTTACATACAAACACATCACTATTTTCACTATTTATTTATAAACACTGCACCTTATTGCTTATTAAATTTAATTGATGTCTTACTGTATAATTTTTAGCGTTTTCTGTCTGGACTCAAAAATGTTGTGTGGACTCAATTCTGTATTTGTGTGTGTATGTCTGTTGGTAACGCATTAATCTCCTTATTTTTCGTGGAAAAGACAAGAGCACCATTGTTAATAAAAATTTCAACCCGAATAAAGTGTGCAGTAGTGAGGTTGAGGTAGTGTTTTAACTACTTTTAACCAGTGTGAAAAGTAACTTTAAATTACAGGCCTACCTTAGGGCTATGCCTCATAGATCTATACTGTAAAGCAATTCCTTTCATCGTTTGATTTAAAATATGGACTAACACGATCGGGTGACATTTAATTGCGAAGCATTCGTTTTGGCTTTGAAACTGTCAGATATTGTATTTGAGAAGGTTTATATGTATTCCTAAACAGTTATAGTTTTGCCATCATATCTGGAAAAATGCACACTAAATATGCAAACCAACTCCTGTTCTGAATATAAGGTTTTAACTTACTACTAGATTCCCGTACGTAGAACGGGCAAACAGCTAGTCATGAATAAGAGATGAGTTTTAAATTAATTGTTTTGAAGACTACCACTTTGTCACTGACTAGGACCAGCTGATGGTTTAACTTTTGTCACTGACTAATCTCGAAGTAGACATCTCATTATTTGAGTAAATTGAAGCCATTTTTCAGCCTGGCTTTAAGTTGTTAACTAAATTACTTATTTTATGAAGGAGCTTTATTCTGTAGAAGAAAATAAGAGTTTATTATCCTTTATTCTTTCACCTATACAGGGTGATTGATATAAGTGTGCCAGCCGTTTTATTCGAAAACTATAAGAGATATAAAAAAAAGTTAAATGGTAAGTGCCTTGGACTTGTTATTTAAAAAATTTTAATCAAGTCGAAAAATTATTTTAGCCGCCATCTTTCCAATATGGCCGCCAACTTTGATTTTTCTTAAGGAACACCCTGAATTTTATGATGTATTCCGGTCGAAAATGTAATTTTAAGACGATTTTATTCTTGTGATTTCTTTCATAAACCTAACCGTTTCAAAGATAATAATGGTTAAACTTTTGAAATTTCGGCATGAGAAAGAGTTTCGATAAAGGCCTAGCAAGCATGTCAGCTGTTTTATTAAAAAACTATTAGAAATTTCACAACTTAAACCATTATTATCTTTGAAACGGTTATGTTTATGAAAAAAATCACAAGAGTAAAATCGTCTTAAAATAATATTTTCTACCGGAATAAATCATAAAATACAGGTCGTTTCATAATAAAAATAAAAGTTGGCGGCCATATTGGAAAAATGGCGGCTAAAATAATTTGTTCGACTTAACCACAATTTTTTCAGTAAAAAATCAAAGGCACTTACTATTTAACTTTTTTTGATATCTCTAAAAAATCTTTGTTATCTCTCTTTGATATCTTTAAAAAATATTTGTTATGGGTTTCGAACAAAATGGCTGGCACACTTATATCAATCACCCTGTATAGCC